TCGGTTTAAACGGTACATTAGTGGAACACTATAGTTTCAGTAGAAGTAAATATTTCCATTTACTGTTATAACGCCGATATAAGGATTTATCTCTAATTGGATAATGAGATAGATAGAAAGATAAATGTTACCGCCAAACTATTTCCATTGGTTCAGAATAGACATCAATCAAACACATGACTGAACCCTGATTGGATCAGGCGCTAATGGACTCGGCATACTAGAGTCGGAAAAAATTGATTCTATATATTTAAAGAATTAATGTTTTTAATCTTTATATCTTTATCTGCTGCTGTCATTGACTAACGATATTTCAAACTAAGACAAGATAAAATTTTAAGTAACCCTACTATGCAAAGATGTCAATGCCCGATTCACAACGGTACCTTTAAACCTTTATCTGATCAAGTATGAATTAGACATTAAAGTTTATAAACAAATCATTTTCAATTTTGACTTCTCTACAATGTGACTTGTGCATTAGTACTGCAGGAAAGTATAAAGGAATTTTTATAAATTAAACCTGGAAAATCCAAAGTACTAATGCAAGGAAAGTTAATTGCGGTGGCGCGTACTCTGCGTACATATTAAAACCAGTTCTCTCTGGTTGGACTTTGTAAACAAGAATAGATACATCAGTGTTCGTTTAGTATCCTAGGTGCAGCATAAAATTTTGATAATTTTAAAAATTCACATAATAGTTTCCTATGACAGAATATTTCATAGATTATTTTTGTCAATATGGATCCCATGTCTGGCTGTGACATCCGTCTTGTGTTTACTTTTCCGCCCAAAGACAGTACACTGCAGTGCAAAAAATGAGTACACCTCTGAAATAACTTTCCTTGCATTAGTACCTTGAAAAAATCTTCCACGTTATTGATCAGATAAATATTTCAAGAGTATCGATGTCAATCGGGCATTGTCATCTTTGCATGGAGGGTCCCTTGAAATACGTATACAGTCCCTTTAATCATCATCATTTTGGGCTCAAATTGATTGGCAAGCATAGCTCAATAAAAAGCGGTGTTTTCAAATAGAAAGATAAAATTAATTGTTGTATTCAAATCCAGTTTAAAGTTTAGTGGTGTACAATAGATACAAACTAACAAACAAATAATAAACTAATCAATTCATGTTTTACAAAATCCCTATAATGTAGGGTTAAAACGGGGGATGGGGGGTGGGTAAGGGGAAGATGG